CTCTTCTTCCCTTCTATGGGTTAAATAGCATCGGAGACGGGACTCATACCTCCCCCAAGGGTGTATACACGTAAGTGAATGTAAAGAATTCGACTGAAACTCGGCTTTCTGATTTCTCATTACAAGCAGATTTGATTACACCACTTGCTCATATATATATATATATATATATATATATATATATATATATATTTAAAATATGATTCCAATACGCTACATAAGAATTCTCATGTTTCAAAAAATTATCCAGGAAAACTTCAATATAATTATTTGAATTAAATTGAATTTGGAGAACGCAGGTCTGTTCCATGTTCAAGCGAAATCCTAATTTTGGAATAACTTATTTCTGAAATTTAAATATATTTTATTCAAACATAGTATCTATTTTTTAAATCAAAAAAGTTCTATGTTAACGATAGATAGAGCAATTGTTTAAATAAAAGATAGATAGATAGAAGGTGTTAATAATTTGTATCATTATAAAAGATACATTCACAGATGTCAAGTCAGGGTAAGGTAAGAATTCTAAATTTAAAACGGAGTTTATATTTATGCTTTACTTTTTTTATCGAGCAGTTATTTTTTAAAATAGAAAGAAAAATACTAAAGAACTTTGGATTATTTACCTAACGAGTTTTTTCCTATTTTCTATATATTTTTATATATATATATATTATATATATATATATATATATATATATAAATAGATAGATAGATAGATAGATAGATAGATAGATATCCAAATGCGCTTGTGTGTTTGTGTGTGTGTGGGTCGAAGATCGGATATAATTGTGTTTAAATGCATTATTCAGAAGTTTATCTCTTTCATGAGGTCAGATCTCTTGAATTTTTCACATTTTCGTTAAGGTTCGAATCCTTGAGATCAAACATATTTTTTGACCATTTTTAAATAATCAAGTCCGTAGATATACCCAAATATATTGTTTTATTCCTGTATTTAAACAGTGTATCCTCAAATATGATTAAGTAAAATAAGCCTCTCCCCCTTTTAAGTATATATATATATATATATATATATATATATATATATATATATATAGATAGATAGAGAAGAATCAGTATTGATTACAAATAAGTGAGTTTTATTAACAAACATGGAATTTGAAATTAAATGTTAAGGTGACTCCAGAATAGAGTGGTATCTTTATTTTCATGAAACAGAGCAAATTTTATATACAATATGAATATAAGATATATATTTAGTTAATGACCATTTTATATATAAAATTTTAATTTTAAAATGGCCTGAAGATTTTTGAAAAGATGTTTATGGTATCACTTTTTGTTAGTGGAGTTGAATGGACTTTATGGCAGAAGAAGGCACCGTTAGAGGAATTATATTATGAAGATAGGAGAGCCTGGGTAGATGAGGATGAGGAAACCGATGAGCTGACTATGGGTACGCATATACATATCCAAATTCCTTCAAAATTTTTGAAAACACTTCCCCAAGATTTGAGCTCTGATATATGGATGAATTTAATACACCACTAATTCCGAATTATCTCTCTTTCATCTGACTAAAGTTATCTCTTGAATGTTTTTCACATTTTCGTTAATTTCCGTGGATTCTCGTTGAATCAAACTTTGGCCGTGTGACCATTAGGATGTAGGTCAGCTCATCGGTTTCCCTCTACCCAGGTTCCTCCTACATTCATAATATAATTCCTGTAACGGTTTCTTCTGCCATATCTCCCACTAAGTCCCTTATAATGGTTCCCTCCTGTTTCTCTCTCTGATCTCTCTCGAATTGATTCTTTCTTTCCCGATATAACCAGTATCAGGCATACTATTGGTTTTTTTTTACATGTAAACAGTCTTTTTCCAGATTATCGCTCAGCTACTAATTTAAAAATGAAATCAGAACTTCATTATTATAACACTGTTTTTCTTCTTCAATTAGTGGCTGTACGATAACCTGGCAAAACGGCGTCTGACATGAAAATGCATATGAGACAGAGGCGTGTCAATGAATTCTCTACAGAAAAGTTGCATCTAAACTCTTTAGTTTCACCTGTCCTAACCTTCACGGCTATGATCCGCCATGTCGTCCTTATTATAGCAATCCACCCTCCTTCCCTTCATATTCCTCTGGTGAGATGTAAGTTCCACTCACGCAGCTTCATCCCACAAACTGCTGCTTTGTGGAACCGACTCCGATCGTTTTCATGACCACTACAATCTTAACCTGTTTAAGTTTAGGGTCAACAGTTATCCTCCACACATATCTGCATAAACTGTACATCATGCTCTGTAACAACCTTGTACAGGGTGAACACTACTGAAAAAAAAAAATTTAAATAAAATAAAAACAGGTATATATTGGTAGGCCAAAAAAACGTTCGTTTATTAAATGAAAGTGGCCGTAAGACAACTAATCGACAGTCGAGACAATAGTGCTTGGGTGTCATGCAATCACGGATGACGCAGTATTTTTCAATGCCAAACAAATTTCATCATACACCCCGAAAATATATTCATATTACTACCCACCACTGCAAACCGAACGAAATTTCCAAGGTGCTGAAAAACAGAAAGATTTCATTAGAAACAAAAAAAAATAGTGCTGGATTACTACTGTGTGATATCTCACTTCTTACAGGGCAGTGAATGCTAGACAATCTCCCCCACTGATGGGAGAAAATAGTGCCATGCAGAAATGTGGTTCTACAGAAGGATACTGAAAATTCCATGGACGGAGAGAATGAGCAACATGGACTCCTTAAAGAATATGGAAACAGAAAGAACAGTTCCACTCAGAATTAGAGAAAAAAAACACTGAAATTCCTTAGAAATATAAGGAGAAAAAGGCTGCGAAAACTTAACGCTCATCGGATATATTGAGGGTAAGCGAGATATAGGGAGGCAGAGATTCACGCACCTGAGGAATTTATGTGAATGAATAACGGAATCGGGCTTAGCAAAATGAGAAAAATTACTAAGAACCACAAAGAATAGGAAGTTGTGGAAAGCCATGATCGCCTACGTCCTGAAGCAACATGACACATGAAAAAGAAGAATCCATATATATATATATATATATATATATATATATATATATATATATATATATATATATATATATGCATACGTTCGTAGTGCAACTTGAAGTTTCGAACGTAGGTATATATATTTATAAATATATAATTTTAGCTCTGTCTAACCGCATTGAGCACTGTTTTGTTTACACCTTATATAAAATTAAGTCAATATTTATTCGTTTACCTTTGTATGCACGCTAACACAAGTATATAAAGTTTTTAATATCTAATTATTTGGTTTATATCAACATTTATACTAAATATATATATATATATATATATATATATATATATATATATGTTAATAAATGCCTAAAAATATTTAGATATTGACATTTGTAGGAAACAAATAGGACACCTAAAGTAAAATGGAAAATTATAAACAGGGCTAGAACAATAAAATTGGGATGACCCATGCCCTTTTATGCAAACCATGAGAAATTGCACATTATTAAGGTTCTAAATAATAATAATCTATTAAACAAAAGACATGAGTTAACGGTTTTTTTTGTCGATATCATCAGATTAGGGTTTTACACTATAATAACTTTCCTAATCCATAGCCCAAATAAATAGTTTAAATTCTACAAAAAGATAACCTTTATGAAGTCGAGAAAAACAAAACGTTACGGCAGTTTTTTTTATATGCACAAAACCTTTCATAAAAAAATAAAATAAAAAATAAATTTTCCATAGACACGCAAACCAGACTAAAATTACATCAATATTTCAAATTTAGACACGCCCACCTTTCCCTGACTTGACATCTTGAAATAACTCTATACTGATACTTATTATTAACACCCAAGACACGCCTACCCAATTTAAACAATTCACCCTAGCTGTTACCATGGAAATTTTGATTTCAATTATTAAAACACGTAAATTTTAGAAATACGTTATTAAAAAAATTTCGATTGAAGATGGATATCTATTTAATTCAATTTAATTCAAATAATTATAAGTTTTCGGCTCTTGTTTTGAAACATGATCTTATGTCGCGAGTTGGAATCATATTTTTAAATTAATAATTATATTTATGCTCTAATATTTTTTTTAAATAATATAAAATGCTAAGGAACTTTGGATTATTTACCTAGCCAGTTCCTTCCTATTTTTATATATCACATTTATATATATATATATATATATATATATATATATATATATATATATATACTCTTAATTAAATTAATTGAAATAAAATTATTATTTCCGCTATTATTTACTTATTTTCGTATTTTTCCAATGAAATATGACCCAGTGCACATGTTACTACTTTGTATGTCCATTCCACGAAATCGTTCCTTACAGATCGATCACAGATTCTTGATTGGATTTAAACCAGAAGAGTTTCCTGGCCACTTTAGTACTTTGATTTGCTTACTTGCCAGTGTGTTCGTGCAGCGTTACAATTTTCGTACGCTTCCTTGGAGTACCATCCATCGCTGTCAATGACAGTGAGACAACTATTCGACAGTCGAGACAATAGTTTCTGGAAGTGTTTAAAATCTGATGCAATCTTGGATGACGCAATATTTTGCAAGGCCAAACAATTTTCATCATACCCCCCCCCCCAAAAAATATATTCATATTACTACCCACCACTGCAAAGACCTAATCTGAGAAAAATAGATTACACCCTGTCACTACAGTGGGTCTAAAACTGACCGTATGGTGAAAGAAAGGAAACTAAAGCGGTTGTTTCAATTAATTTGCACAAGAGTATATATATATATATAGAGAGAGAGAGAGAGACAGAGAGACGTGTGTGTGGGGGGGGTGAAATATCTATATTTCGTAAAGAATTTAAACAACGTGCTATCCGAAAAGGATTCTCAAGCAATATAATGTTAATTAAACTTCAAAGCCACTTCGAAGATTTTTCCTAACAGAGAATTTACTATAGTGCTAACACTTTGAACATTTGAACATACTTTAGAATTGTCCGTTGTACATCTGCTCAAGAAAACACGGCGATAGGAACTCTTCATGAACGGATATTGAGATCTGAAGAAGAAGAAGAAGAAGAAGAAGAAGAAGAAGAAGAAGAAGAAAACTTCTGAGTGAATAACTGAACAGACAATAGATTGGATGTGGATCAATCTTGAGGACTCCGCCTGCAAGTCGAAATTTGTTACAATTCGTTTTGAGGCATGAGGAAAGAAATTTACCAATTGTAGGGTCTGAAAATGACGCTACAAATTGTCTTTGCTCGAATTCTAAATATCGAAGCGAAAGAAATATTCAAAGTAGCGTAAATGAAATCTACTTCTGTGATGAAGATAGATAGATAGATAGATAGATAGATAGATAGATAGATAGATAGATAGATAGATAAGGAACAGACTGAGAGAGAGAGAGAGAGAGAGAGATAGATGAGATAGATAGATAGAATAGAATAGATAGATAGATAGATAGATAAGGAACAGACTGAAAAGAGAGAGAGAGACGAAAATAAACAGGATAGATAGATAGATAAGGAACAGGATAGATAGATAGATAGATAGATAGATAGATAGATAGATAGATAGATAGATAAGGAATAGGATAGATAGATAGATAGATAGATAGATAGATAGATAGATAGATAAGGAACAGACTGAGGGATAGAGAGAGAGAGAGAAATGAAAATGAACAGAATAGATAGATAGATAAGGAACAGACTGAGATAGATAAATAGATAGATAATGTTATAAATATTCAGCGATAGACAGCATCATCAGTTTTGGTTCTGTCTATATATTCTCCTATTTTTCAAACCACCCTGTCGGCTGTCCGTCATCTATTCACGACTGTACGTTCGGTGTCTGAAGCATAAACGCTATTAAACTTGCTTTTAATTGGATCGCTTCCAAACATCAGGCAAAACAAGATAACCTTAAATCAGAAACAAAACGACGACAAAAACACCGACCATGTTTTTTTTTTTTTTGTTTTGTTTTTTTTAGGCGTCTGTGCAAGCGAACGGCATTCCAGCCGCTAAAGAGCTTTACATTATGCCAGCTCAGGATTTGTGTACGAGCCTTTAACATCTATTTCTTGTTTGGCTATTCTGATCGCTTCCTCCTATTTACATCGAACAAATTTTTGTTCGCCTTAATGAATTTTCTGCTCGATTTAGAGTTTTTCTAAATAGGTGTAGATCTTTTTTCACTTTTGCGTAAAATTCTCGAATCAATTAAACAGATTTCTGTTCCCCAACAAGTCTTTCATTTATTATTGGAAATGTCAGACAAATAAAGTGGAAGACGAATATAAAAACAAATGTTTTGTAATGAGAACGATGTGTTGATTACCTTTGCAGGTCAGTCGACTTAAGTAGTCATCCTTTCAACATCACTCCACAACATTATCAGTTTTATAAAAAAAGAGCCGATCTCGTCGACAGAAGGGCCAATTAATAAGAAAAAAAAAAAAAAAGCGTCAATAAATCCAGCAGGAAGATTAGTGATGTTAGGAAAAAGGAGAAAAAGCCATCACACCCACAGAGATGGAATTATAATTTGTGATATGGGTAAAGATTTTTAAACTTCCATTAGATCCGCCATGTCATCCTTATTGTAGCCTGATAGAAGAAATCTGATTACATTTTTTAAATCAGCGGACACATTTGCATATAATAATATGCTCAAATAATAATATAATACTAGCAGCATGGCCCGGCGTTGTCCGTGCTTGATTCAAAAATCATACGACTCATACAGCAATCGTTATCCCTTGACTTAAAATATTTTTGCCCTTCCTTGCCTTTAAAGGAGTGCCCTTTGCCGGGCTGATGTTGCTACATGCCTTACTTCTTGTTATCTCACACTGCGAATTTTTTCTAAGCTCTATACTAAACATTAAATCTGTTACGAAAAAAGAACTAAACAAAATGAACACAAAATAATCAGCTTTAAAAAAGGACTCGTAACTGGAAAAAACGAATGAAAAAAGAATGTTAACAACAAATACTTTTTCACACCCAACCCAGTTCTGCGGAATCAGAATCAACGTTGAGTTTAAGCAAACGAATGAGCCAATTGGAGTAAAGTGCCATGCAGATTTAAATTGGGACAAATGCAGCTATCGATTTTTTTTTGCATGCTAATATGCTAGTTAACATTCGTGTCAGTCAGCTGTTGGCTCTCACGCTGGCCAATAGAATCTTTCTGCCTATTAGTGGCAGCCAGATATTGGCTCTCACTCTGTAGAAAATGGCCGCAAACTACATGAAAACTGCCATAGAAGCATGGAAAATCGATTATTTCCACTATCAATGAGAGTTGGGAAATGCAAAGTCGGTCTTGATCTTCCCACTAACATGGAGCATGTGCATGTAAATTTTGGTGCAAATCCGTCGAAAATTGCAGCCGTGCATTCGTTACACACACACACACACACACATCCTGCCTTTTATAGAGAGAGATTATTATAATATAATATAATAATATTATTATAATATAATATAATATTATTATAATATAATATAATGATATAATATATTATAATAATATTATTACAATATAATATATAATATAATAATATTATTATAATATAATATAATATATAATAGTATTATTATAATATAATAATATAATGTAATAATATTATTATAATATAATATTATATTATTATTATAATAATATAATAATATTTTAATATATAATAATATAATAATATTATTATAATATAATATAATATAATAATATTATTATGATATGATATAATATAATATATAATATTTTTATAATATAATATTATTATATCATATAATATATATATAATATTATACAATATAATATATTATATATAATATAATATAATATATTATTATAATAATATAATAATATAATATAATAATACAATAATATTTATAAAAATATAATATAATATAGAATAATAATTATATAACAATATATTAATATTATTATAATATAATAATATAATATATATTATTATATAATAATATTAATATATATAATATAATGATATAATAATCTTTTTATAATAAAATTAATAAATATATTATAATATAATAATAAAAATAATATTATTATAATATTTATAAAATTAAATATAATAATATAAATAATTATAATATAATAGAATAATATTTTTATTATATAACAATATATTAATATTATTATAATATAATAATAAAATATAATATAATATATCAGAATAATACAGATCATAAAATCCTTGATGACAATTTGACCAGTGTTATAAGAAATAATGGTGAATCCGAATGCAGTTATTTGCAGTTATTTTACAGCGTCGTTTGTTGACATTTTCCTTATTATTTATTATTGATGACGTAATTATTTGCTGATTATTATTATTATTATTATTATTACATTTATTTGTGTTTATTTTTGCATTAATCTTTTGTTAATTTGTTTATTTTTTTTACTTAATGTGTTTATTCATCTATTTGGATTTATTTTCGGTGGTTCATTGTTTTATTTGCTTAGATTACAGTATTGTTTTTGTCTGAAATATCTTACATTATCTGCGCTGTACTACACCCTTGGGCAAATTAATTGAAAGAAAACGAATACTTCCGTTATTATTTACTTTTATTTTCGGATTTTTCCAATGAAACATGACCCAGTGCAGACGTTAGTGCTCTGTATGTCCATCCCACTTTACTTACAGATTGACCACAGATTCTCGATTGGATTTCAATCAATCGATCGGCATATGAACAGACTATTATTCTGAAATTCTGAATTCTATGATTTTCTTCTTCTGCAGAGGAAGATAAGGACATTTTCAATGTTATTTTTTATTTTAGATTTCTTACTAAATTTTTTTTTTCTTTTGTGATAATGAATTCACGCACGCATCCGATCCGTTAAATGTAATCAATGAAACGAAATATGATTCTCGTCGGTTGCATTTTTCATGTGTACTTTTCAAAGACTTTGTACAATATATTAAATTCTTGTTATTGTCTTGTTATATTTCCGAAACATTGTTTCGCCATTTTGCTCAAACTCGCCATATCTGTCATGGTGCTCCTGCTATTCATCTCGAGGTCCTTGACAAAATCCAAAGAAGGATCTGCAATATAATCGATCCTGGTCTGGCATCTCGACTTCACTCTGTCGTTTCTACAAACATTTTCATGACAACCGCACTGAGGAGCTTTTATTCCTGATCTTCCGATTACATGAATTTAAGCTTGTTACTACACCCTTGTGGAAATGTATTGAAACAAAACGTATAATTCCGTTATTACATACTTTTTCCGTATTTTTCCAATAAACATGACCCAGTGCACATGTTAGTACTTCGTATGTCCATTCCACGAAGTCATTCTTTGCAGATTGACCACAGATTATCGATTGGATTTAAATCAGGAGAGTTTCCTGGCCAGTCAATAGTACTTTGATTTACTGCTTGGTAAGGCTTGCCAGTGTGTTCGTGCAGCGTTACAATTTTTGTACGCTTCCTTGGAGTAACGTCCATCGCAGACAATGGCCGTAGAACAACTAATCGACAGTCGAGAGAATAGTGTCTGGGTGTGATTAAAATCTAATGCAATCACGGATGACGCAATATTTTTCAAGGTCAAACAAATTTCATTATACACCCCGAAAATAAATTAATATTACTGCACACCACTGCAAATGACCTAATATGAGGTAAAAAATAGAAATCGATTACACCCTGTCAATCCAGTGGGTGTAAAACTGACCGTATGGTGAAAGAAAGTAAACTAAAGCGGTTGTTTCTATTAATTTCCACAAGGGTGTATCTCCTAAACATTGTTCCGCTATTTTACTGAAACTCTTTAGTTAGGTTATGCATTGTTTTCCCCCTTTTCCTCTTGCTGTTAATCTATTCTATAAGTATCTTATTTTCCAAATCCTCTCTCCACATTATTTTTTTCAACCGTAGTCGGGATCATCTAGTCAGTGTTACCGATCCTTTCTTTAGCTGCATAGAATATGTTTCATCAGGGCTACATACACTTTTGTTTACAGTTTAGTCCGGTTGCCACCCAAGGCTATAGAACTCAGTCTGTCCTACTGTTTACCCATAGCTGGAAGGTTTGGATCCATACTTTACCATTGGTATTAGCACGTAATCGACTGGAATTTGAACTCGCGTCTCCGATTCCTCAATCTATTACTCTGCCCTAGTAATTTCAACTCTCTGTTTCTGATGTCCATTTTGTTTTTTATTTTCTCGATAACTTCGTCGTTCGTTATATGGTCGGCCTATGGTATCCTCAGCATCCTTCTGTAGAACCATACTTCTTTTGATTCAAGTCTCTTTTTTCATATCTGAGGAGATTGTCCAGCATTCGTTGCCATATAGCAAGACTGCCTCTAACAAGTTGAACTCAACAGAAAAAAAAATGAATAATAAAAATAAAAATAAATTAAAACTGGAGTCGAGACAAATTTTTAAATAGAATTACTTCCCTTGAACTATTAACTTCTGTCAGCCATTATGATTTGTTTTTTGGGGTTTTTTTTTGGTTTTTTTTGTTTTGTTTTACGGCATATTAAACTCAACGAGTTATTTAATGCCGACAAGATTTTTATTGCTGGTAATATTTTTTTCCAAAAATGTATTGCTCGTAATATTTTTTTTCTTTAAAAATGTTTTCCTGGTAATAATTATTTACAAAAATGTATTGCTGACAATATTTTTTTTCCTTCAAAAATATATAGCTGATAAATTTTCCTCAAAAGTGTATTGCTGACAATATTTATTTTCTTAAAAAATGAATTGCTGGTAATAATTTTTCCTCAAAAAATTTATTGCTAGTATTAAAACCAATTTTACACTTTCATTGTGTTTGTCCCCAATATTCGGGTTAACGTATTGCCCATAGCTGGGATCCTAACAGTGGACCCGGGAACACCGGCAATTTAGAGGTGGTTCCACGATCCTCAAAATCTCCTGATTAGAGGCCTTGATGTTGGACGTAGTCTATCGTCTTAGCCAGGACGGTCATACATAATAGCACATTTTTAAATAGAGTTACTTCCCTTGAATTATTAATTTTTGTCAGCCATTATGACGAATAATAATGATTAATAATTTTGACTAAAGTTTACTTTTAATTTCTTTTAATTAAAACTTTGCTCAAATATTAACAAAGTAAAAAATACTACAATTTTAAAATACCAATGATTTGTACACATGAGAAAATTTGAAAAGGTTAAATAAATGTAAACCCGAACAAATTAGAAGCAGCCTTAATTCTATTTGATGCCACAACAAAGAGTAATTAAACTAGTTTTAACCCGTGAAGATCCCACGGTTTTTCTGTTTTAATATTCAGATGGATCTTAATTCTTAGTAAGCTCATGGCGAGTTCTATGATAATAAAATATCCGTAGAAATTCCCCTATCGCTAAATATGAGAGCTTAACAACTTTAACAAAATATTGCAATAAGAATCATAAATATGAATGCTGGTCGTTATTTTAAGAATTGGGTACAAATGAAAAGATTTGAAAGAATTTGAAAGTGACAATTTTTTTTCCATCTCACTGAAACAGCTGCTAAAACAGAAATTTCAAATCAGTTTCATATCACCCAAATAGTTCAAATATGCATATCAAAATCATGCCCGCATATGAGGCACTCCGGATATGAGGGATTCCGGATATGAGGGATTCTACTGTATTTGAGCTTAACAACTTTAACAAAATAGTTTAATAACAATCATAAATATGAATGCCGGTCGTTATTTTAAGAAGTAAGGGGGTACAAATGAAAAGATTTAAAATTGAAATTTTTTCCATTTCATTGGAACAGCCGTTAAACACTTCCATTTTTCTTTCTATTGTGAACTCTCAAGTCCCTCAATGCTCATACGTAATAATATTTACCAAGCTCCCCACGGGGTAGGATGTGGCGCAAGGTCGAATTTAATATGGGACAATTCGAGACTGTTGACTCGGTCAGAAATTCCAAGTAAATCCCGCATAAACTTTTTGGGTCTGTCTCCCCGGACGAGACTCTGCACTTCGTCATAGCCTCGTCCGGGTTCCTCTCTACCCGAAAGCAGAGAGTTCCACACACAGCTAAGAGATGAGTAGCAGATCCCAGCTATACAATGCTCATGCGTAGTAATATTTACCAACCGCTCCACGGCGTAGCATGTGCCACAAGGCCGAATCTAATGGGGGGCAATCCGAGCCCGTAGGCTCTGTCAAAAATTCCCCGTAAATCTCGCATAAACGGGTTCGAGTCTGTGTGTCCACCCGGACGAGACTCTGCCCTTCGGCATAGCCTCGTCCGGGTTCCTCTCTGCCTTCGGGCAGACAGTTTGACAGCAGCTAAGAGCTGAGTAAGAGATCCCAACTATAAAATGCTCATCCGTTGTATATTTAGCGCTCCCCCCCACGAGGGTTGCATGTGGCACAAGGCCGGTTTAACGTGGGTTCTCCGATCCCCTAGGCTCGACCAAAAATATTCCCTTTTTGAACCCGCATGAACGGGTCCAGGGGCAGTCTACCTCCCCAAACGAGACTCAGACAGAGTCTCGTCCGGGTTCCTCTCAGCGTTCGGGCAGAGAGTTCGACAGCAGCTAAGAGCTGAGTAACAGATTCCAACTATAAAATGCTCATGCGTAGTAGTATTTCTACTCTATTTGGAAGAGTTATATAGCCTCTCTGTTCCGGCTATGTTAATTGGTTAATCTATATACTATCACACCTTAGGGCTCCTCAGTGTGGTGTAATGGTTAGCAAGCTGGTCTTGCTAAAACTGTTACAACTGAATAGTGAGTTCGATCCTCACTGGGTGCCCCATACTTTCGGCCATGTGCCCCATCTAAGCCTCGCTTTGAAAATCAATATTTGGGCACCTCGGGGTGGCGTAATGGTTAGCAAGCTTATCTCGCTAGGACAACTACGGCTGAGTAGTGAGTTCAATCCTCACTGGGTGCCCCTTACTTTCGGCCCTGTGCCACATCCAAGCTACGCTTGGAAAATCACTTTGGGCACCTCGAGGTGGTGTAATGGTTAGAAAGCTTGTCTCTCTAGAACAATTACGACTGAATAGTGAGTTCGATACTCACTGGGTGCTCCATACATTCGGCCTCGTGCCACATCTAAGCTAAGCTTAGAAAATCACTGCTATCACACCTTTATTTATTTATTTATTACGGTAAAGACAATTATTTATGAGGAAATGGCAGGGCGTAAAAGGTTGTGCAAACTAAGAGAAGGTCAAGCATAATTATAATAATATAATCCACTTTGCCGTCTCCTTTATTTTTGTATATTTCCTAAAACCAGAATGATAGTGAATACGAAAATGCGGCTCGCTCTTTACTAAGTTCACAATGAGCCGGTTACGACTGTAAACAGCTGTGGCTCTGATTTTTGGCACATGCTGCTTGATCTGTCCGGTTTTATCGCCTTTCTTTTCCCTCTCTTTTTTAACGGATATACCATTCCTCACCGTTGACTGATAATGTATATGGCTGTGCATACTTATTTTCAATCTGAAACGCTTGATAGAGACGTCAAAACCAATTATGTTTTATCTTAACCAAACTTTCTGTATAACTCTGGAGGTTGGTTTTTTTTTTTTAAATCGAGCCAGAAAGTTTTCAGCTTATATGTTATTGTTTTTCATAATATTCACAGCATTATACGTTTAAGTGTGAAAAGGCGACACACAGTGAAACAGCACTCATAAGAATCAAAGAAATATAAACACTTTTCCGATTTGCACTAGAATCAAAAAGATAGTTTTGTATTACAATAGAAAAATAACTAAAAGTCGGTTTTTCACTCGTCCTGGGTATGACGATAAACTACATCCGGCAGCAAGGCTTCTGATCAGGAGATAGGAGATTTAACGAGCGTAGACCTCCCTCTTAATTGCTCTTGTTCCCAGGTCCACTCTGATCTGGAGTGGTAGTACCTGTTATGGGCTCAGCTATAGGTAGTGAAACCCCAAACAAAAATCAACAGTACATTTTTTATAATAAAATTACCAATCAATGCAACACTAAAAAAAAATATAAAAATACATTTTAATCGTAAAATTATCAACAATACGTTTTATGATCTAAAAAATTACATATTTTTACCGTGAATGTATAAAATTATGTACAAAAATCTATAGTTAAAACATAAATTTACGTACAAAATATTTAGATTTTGGCATTAAATAACCTATAGAGGTGCTGATATGTCGCTAAACAAAATAAAGCAATCAAATCGGTTTTGCACACGAGTCAAATCTTTAGATAAATGACCGTTTCGCACCAGAATCGGAAAGCTTATGCTCAGTTTCAAAAAGAATTTTAAAAAAAGCTTGATATCAGTCAGGTCTTAAGGTCAAAAGCTTGATAATTGTCTGGTCTGTAATCGAATCAAATAATTTGATACAAATGTAGTTTTGCACTAGAGTCAAAATGTTAAATATAATTCCGTTTCACCCGAGAATCAAAAATTTAGAAAAAGGCCCAGTTTGAACTAGAATCAAGAAGCTACACGTCAGTCTGGCTTGAAACAGAATTTAAGAGTAATAACTAGACACGGGCCCAGTTTGCGCTAGAATCAAATAATTAGTACGGGTTTGCTTTGTACTCAAATCAGCTTACAACCTTATCACGTTGAAACATTGCTGTCTGTACGATCAACGAAATTCAATCCCGATGTTTTGGCATTTTTATTTTATTTGGAAGTATGGATGAATAAACTATACAATTTACCCGGAATTTAAAACAAACCCACACTCTTGCAAACTAGGTCGAGTCCTAAATAATTTCCGATTTTGTTTATAAAATTTATTCTTAAATTCATACATTTTATTCAGTTATATATCCACCATTATTTGTGGCTTATGGCCAGTCCCCGATGAAACATCGGCTCCCATACGTAATTTTCAAGGTAATTTGACTACATTAAATGGATATATAGTTTGGTTAACGGCGTAGCCAGGGCCAGCAGTACATACGCTAATTTTAAATCTCGTGTATGATACAACCCCCTTAAAATTAGCTTCAGAATGAAGTCTTCAAAAGTCGATTAATACGCGAGTATATACGATAACCACCGTCGATCCGGGTCAGTACCTAGATGGGTGACCACTTGGGAACACTATGTGCTATAAGAAACACAGGTTTTCTTACGACCACTGAAGTTAAGCCACGTCGAGTTTGGTCAGTACCTAGATGGGTGACCGCTCAGAAATACTAGGTGTTATAAGAAACACTGGTTTTCTTACGATCACTGAAGTTAAGCAACGTCAAACTTGGTCAGTACATAGATGGGTGATCGCTCGGGAATACTAAGTGCTTTAAGAAACACAGATTTTCTTACGACGACTGAAGTTAAGCAACGTCGAGTCTGGTCAGTACCTAGATGGGTGACCACTCGGGAATACTCGGTGTTATAAGAAACACTGGTTTTCTTACGATCACCGAAGTTAAGCAACGTCGAGCCTGGTCAGTACCTAGATGGGTGACACCTCGGAAATACTAGGTGCTATAAGAAACACTGGTTTTCTTACGATCACTGACGTTAAGAAACGTCGAGCCTGGTCAGTACCTAGATGGGTGACCGCTTGGGAATACTAATTGCTGCAAACTTGGATGTCAGGGTGGTGTAACATATAAAGAATCGGAAATTTATAAATCATTTCGAAAAAATATTAGCCAGACACGCATCCGGTTTGTACTGGAATCAAATCCTAGTACGGGTTTACTTTGTACTCGAATCAGCTTACAGCTGCATCACGTTAAAACACCGCCCCCGTACGATCAGCTAAGTTAAACAATGCTGTGCTTTGTCAGTACATAGATGGGTGACCGCTTTGGACAGGTGCTGTATATTTGGATGTGCGGGGGTGTAATGAATAACGGCTCGGAATGTTTAATTGAAGAGCCGAGTTCCAAATCCAGTCGGGTTCGTTATATACACTTGCGCAGAAATAACATTGGGAAAGGCATGAATCCACCTCTTCTCTACCTGCTATCATCACTAATTAATTATGATGTCAAAGACAAACATTCTTGCTATCTAAAAATATTTTCTGGCTTTAAATAACCTGCAAAGTGTTGATAAACCGTAGAAAATGACCCAATCAATCCTGTACTCAAAACAAATAGTCTGATTTAGTTTGCATTAGATTTAAATGCCTTTATATTTTGTACAAGAACCGAAAAGATAGAGAGATACATCAGCTTTGCACTAAGATGCTAGATATAGGTTAGGTTTTCACTAGAGCCGAAAAGGTAGACATAGGTCCAGTTTACACTAGTCATAAAGGTAGACATAGGTTCAGTTTACACTAGTCATAAAGGTAGACATAGGTTCAGTTTACACAAGAGTAAAAACGATAGATATAGGTCCGGTTTACAGTAGAATCAGAAAAGTGGATATGGGTCTGTTTTAAACAAAATAGATCAGCTTTATACTAGATTAAAAACGGTAGACATAGGTCCTGTTTACACTAGTCATAAAGGTAGACATAGATCCCGTTTACACTAGTCATAAAGGCAGACATAGGTCCCGTTTACACAAGTCATAAATGTAAACATAGGTCCGCTTTACACTAGTCATAAAGGTAGACATAGGTCTGCTTTACACTAGTCATAAATGTAGACATAGGTCCTCTTTACACTAGTTATAAACGTAGACATAGGTCCGCTTTACACTAATCATAAAGGTAGATATAGGTCCGCTTTACACTAGTCATAAACGTAGACATAGGTCCGCTTTACACTAGTCATAAAGATAGACATAGGTCCGCTTTACACTAGTCATAAAGGTAGACGTAGGTCCGCTTTACACTAGTTATAAACGTAGGCATAGGTCAGGATAGACTGTTCTTCCGAGGTTGTGACTGTTCATAGCTCCTGTCGAACTCTCTGCCTTGGGCAGAGAGGAACCCGGACGAGGCTGTGCCGAAGGGCAAAGGTTCGTCTGGGGAGGTAGACAGACCCTGAACCCGTTTATGAGGGTTCTAATGGAATATTTTTGGCCTAGCCTACGGGTTCGGAGAACCCACGATAAACTCGGCCGTGTGCCACATATATCCCTCGTGGAAGGGGCTGTTAATTATTAACAGTGATAGACAGTGAGTGATTGTTCGCAGCTCCTGTCAAACTCTCTGCCTTAGGCAGAGATGAACCCGGACGAGGCTGTACCGGAGGGCAGAGTTTCGTTCGGGGTGGTAGACAGACCAGAACCCGTTTATGCGGGTTCTACGGGGATTTTTTGGCCGAGCCTACGGAGTCGGATGACCCATGTTAAACTCGGCCTTGTGCCACATATATCCCTTGTGGGGGCGGCTTTTAAATATTAACAGTGATAGACTGTTCTTCCGAGGCTGTGACTGTTCGCAGCTCCCGTCGAAGTCTCTGCCTTAGGCAGAAAGGAACCTGGACGAGGCTGTGCCGAAGGGCAGATTTTCGTCCGGGGAGACAGACCCGTTTATGCGGGTTCCATGGGGATTTTTTGGCCGAGCCTACGAAAGAAAGAAAGAAAGAAAGAAAGAAAGAAAGAAAGAAAGAAAGAAAAATGTGGTGGGATACAGATTAACCAATTAACATGGCCAGAATATCCAGGCTATATAACTACTCCGATTAGAAGACGGAATATTACTACGCATAAACATTAAGTAGTAAAACCATGGACAATAGAAAGAAACATAGATTTTAACGGCTGTTTCAATGAAATTGTCAATTCTAAATCTTTTCATTTGTACCCACTTCTTAAAACTTAACGACAAGCATTCATATTTATGACTGTTAAAATTATTAAGCTTCAATATGTAACGATGCGATAGGGGAATTTCTACAGATATTTTATTGTCCTAGAACTTGCTATGAGTTTATTCAAACATTAACTTAAGAATTAAGATTTATCCGAATATCAAAACAGGAAAACCCTGAAATTTCCACGTGTCTTTCTAGTTATTATTAAAGAGTTAATTAATACCGTAAAAAGGATGTTAAATAAAAGTAATCAAAATGGATACAACGAAACTATCCGGTCATCTATAACCAAAAATTATCGAATGACGAAATCACTGGGCAAAAGAAAGATGGCCGAACGATAAGGAAAAATAAACACTTAATACTCAGATATTCTCATAAAATATCTGAGTATTGACAAGTTTAATACAACACAGGGTAACTATGCTAAACCCTTATAATCAATCTTCATATAGGGTCAATGGTCAGGTAGTATAATCGGATAGATCAGGCCTGGGTAGCTATGAATGCAACCAGTGCGGCGGGGACACCGTGGCTGTTAACTTCAATCTAGGGAACTGAATTCAGCGGCCAGACGGCGTATGCCCGTCTCCTGATTAAATCGACGTGTCCGTGACCAAGGCGAGTCCTTCAGGGTGGAAGACAATGGCTGTGGATTAACGTGGAGAGGGATGGGCTCCGCCAGGTCCGCCTGTTGAATACACGCTACGCATTAAGGAATTCCCTCTCCACGTTTCACATCCAGATAAAAAGAGGCAACTGGTCATGTGCTCGGCTGCGCAGCGGCACTACCATCACACGCGGTCATGTGAGTGATGATGATGATGATGATGATGATGAACAGAGTCGAGTAAGATGACTATGATTAGCTTTGATGAGTAAATCGAACCTGTATAAGAAATAATCTGGTTTCCCTATTCGGGGGTCTGCCTAGCGAAATTCTAACACAAGCATAAAGTAATTTTCTTGAATTTCGTTTGACCAACCAAATTAAAGCAATAATTGTTTACGAGACGAGATTGCTAAACACAGCACCACAGTGAAACGCCTTCGAAGCTTAAGTAAATATATATATATATATATATATATATATACGTATTTTTTTATTTAGTTTGGCACAAAGCAACAAGTGTAGAAAAGACGATAAAGATCTAAATCACAACTGCAGAAATAGCATGCTAAATAGACCTATCCGTTTTCCTTACGAGAATTTTGGTACCTGGGGTGTAGGAGGTAGCCTGCCATTGCACTAACGATGTCAAGTCTATGAAGTAATTATGGCGCCTTTGCCGCTAGAACTGTGCAATTTTTTTTTCATCCAAATGTATGTGGGTTCCTACCTTTAAAAACAAAGTCTTTGTGTCATCTTTTCTCTGCGTGGGAGGACTAAAATTTGCAGAAAGTATTCTCGCTAACCCTGGCCCGACGGTGAGGTATCCGAATTAAGTAGAGCCCCCCCCCTCTCTCCACCTCTCTTTCTCTCTCTCCCCCTCTCTTTATCTTCCCCCCTCTCTTTATCTCTCCCCCTATTCTCTTTATCTCTCCCCCTCTCTTTATCTCCCCCTCTCTTTCTATCTACCCTCTCTTTCTCTCCCCCCTCTCTCTCTTTCTCTCCCCCTCCCTCTCTCTTTCTCTCCCCCTCCCTCTCTCTCTCTTTCTCCCCCCTCTCTCTCTCTCTCGCATTATCTTAACGATCAGCCAATGAACATTCTCAGATGTTTTGTAGTTCATATCCAGGCAGGTGATACCACATTTTATTAGTGCACCTCAAAGTATATAGATGATTATTGAGCCTGACAGCTGATTCAGTTCTTGATGGACCTCTAACCGTATAATGGGGAAATACAAAAATTCCCACAGAAGCGAAAAGAAAAGATTAAACATCAACTGCAGGACGACAGAATGCATGGTTGTTCGCAGCAGGATCAGCCCAAAGTGCGAAGTGTAAATCGGAGATAACAAAATCAAACAAGTGCTGAAATTTAAATATCTGAGAAATGGTTTAACAGAGGACGGAAAGTCTGACACTGAAATCCAAAGGCGTATCGGGATAGCCAAAGATGCCTTCCAAAAGCTAAGCAGAGTATTAAGAAATAGCAAAACTTCGCTAAAAACAAGGAAAAAAGTATTAAATTTTTACGTGATGCCTGTCTTCCTATATGGCAGTAATTGCTGAAAAATCTCCTGACAGATGAAGAAGAGACTTCAAGCAACAGAAATGTGGTTCTACAGAAGGATGCTAAGGATACCATGGACCGAACATGTGAGCAACGACGGAATTTTAGAGAAAAATTAAACAAAAATGAAACGTATACTTAACTTCTGAAATTGACAGTTGAAGATTCTGAGGCACAGAATGAGGAAAGAGGGCTTGGAAAATCTGATACTCACGGGACAGATAGAGGGCAAGAGAAGCAGAGGAAAACAACGCATAACAAACTTAGTGCGCTTAAATAAATGGATGGCGGGGAAGGGTTTTCGAGAAATAACAGAAAGGCAAAGTTTAATAGCTTTTTTTTCCATCCAAATGCATGTGGGTTCCTACCTTTAAAAACAAAGACTCTCTCTCTCTCTCTCTCTCTCTCTCTCTCTCTCTCTCTATCTATCTATCTATCTCTCTTTTGAATACACGCTGCGGATTAATGAATACCCTCTAAAAAGAGGTCATGTGTTTAGTATTAACTAAATTACTCAGTTCCACGAATGTTGATATTTACAGCTACGTCATGCCACCTATTCAGGGTCGAATCTTCCTCTTTCCCTAATTATTCCATAGGTAAGGAGGAGGTTCCATTCAGACAGCTCTTTTTCCGAGAACGGCTACTTGGTGGAACAGACTCCTGAGATGATATTTCCCTGATCCCTACAATCTTAATCTCTTCAAGTCTAGTAACAACCGTTGTCTATCCTACATATCCTCATAATTTACACTTTATTCCTTCTCTTAACGGCCATTCAAAACCTCACACAATAAACGTTTATATTAAGTGACTCTTTAACCGTATATTGGGTTCCTTGCATAAAGAAATTAAAATTAAAAAGGCTGACGTTACCGCTCGATTTAACTGGCCTGACAGCAGATTTACACTGATTCTTGATCCTTTATTATCCCCCAGACATCGATCCATCATTATTCGGACTGTTATCCTCATCCTCTTTAGCATATTCACAACGTTTCGTCCTCAAGGACATATGGCCAAGTGGATAAAGACGTTGGTTAGAGCCGGTAACAAGACCCAAAGAGTTGTGAGTTCAGTAGCAGGTCACAGCAGTGGTGAACCAAACTTGGAAAGATCAGCTGAAGGGAAATAAATGAAACATCCGGAAGAGGCATGGCACGTCGAACTAGAACACTTTACCCCTGGTGGTCGAAATAAAGGGTATGGTTCGAAAGTCCAATCACCTGAAGAAGGTCAGAGCGTACAACGGCCGAAATGTTGTGAATATGGCAATGATTTGGTTTGGTTTGTTTTGTTTTGTTTTACGGCATATCAACCTCAATGGGTTATTTAATGCCGACAAAATTTTTATTGCTGGTAATCTATTTCTGGGAATATTTTTTCCTTGAAGAAATCTATAGCTGGTTATATTTTTTTTAAAAAAAAATGTATAGCTGTTTGTAATGCTGGTATTTTTTTTAATGTATTGCTGATAATAATTTTTCCTTCAAAATTATTGCTGGTAATAATTTTTTATTATTACTACAAAGTATTTCTGGTATTAACGCCTATTTTTACACAAGTTTGAGTGTTAACTATTTGCCCATACCTGGGACCCTAACAGGTGCTACCACCCTGGGTCAGGCTGGACCTGGGAACAACAGCAATTAAGAGGTGGTTCCACGCTCCTCAAAACCTCCTGATCAGAGGCCTTGCTGTTGGACGTAGTTTATCGTCTTACACAGGACGGAATATGGTAATGAGGATAACAGTCTGAATAATGTAAATAAGAAACATGATGTTGTGGAGAGCCGTAACCTTTTTTTTCCAGTCATGATGAACAGTTACACTGTCAATAAGGCTCCTTAACTTGAACGTCAGCTGAGGCACAAATTCACTCTAGATCCAATGTAGAAGTATATACGATGCATCACGATAGATGCTGGAAAATTGGCTATTTACTATTTGCTATCAATCGGCTATTTACTTGGGTTTATTTACGTGGGCTGCACCAGGAAATACAAATTTCCACCTACCGTGTTCTATCTTTGCAGAGACCCAAAATAGAGTATAGTTTGCCATATCTGGGCTGGTGTTGAGTTGAGCAACACTCATTTTCCAACCTCGGTAGAGCTCAAAAGGGTTCAGCAGCCTTGTTGGTAATTAATTATTTCTCACCCTACAGTTCCTTTCCCCACTTCAAATGTCCAGATGTACTATATTCCTCAGTTCCACGAATGTTGATATTTACAGCTACGTCATGCCAACTATACAGGGTCGAATCTTCCTCTTTCCCTAATTATTCCATAGGTAAAGAGGTGGTTCCATTTAGACAACTCTTTTTTTTTCCGAGAACGGCTACTTGGTGGAACAGACTCCTGAGATGATACTTCCATGATCGCTACAATCTTAATCTCTTCAAGTTTACCAGTACCTACCTGTAACAGCGGTATTTACTTAACTCCCACGGGGTCAAGATGTGACACAAGGTCGTTTTTCGTGGGAAACCCGAGCGTTTCCGCATAGGGTTACTGGTCAAAGATTGGTCATAACATGTCCAAGCTGGTCAAAGCTTAGTCAATATTTTGGTCATAACATGTCCAATCTGGTTAAGGCTTAGTCAAGTTTTTAGTCAAAGCTTTGGTCATTACATGTCCAAGCTGGTCAAAGCTTAGTCAAGTTTTGGTCCAAATTGGTCTTGGCTTGTCTTAGCAGGTCCTGATATGGTCCAAACTAGACTTTGCCATGGTCGCAACCCAGCCCTACCTGTAACGGTATTCACCCGGGGTGGATTGAGACGGCTCCAATATTAGAGTTTCATGGGAATTTGGAATTCACAAGCGGTCCCCAAACCCGCATGTATAGGCTTCCGATCAGTTCCCAGGAAACCGACAGCCTGACAACAGCACATGAGATTTGATTATAGTGGTGAAGGCCTCGTGCAGGAACATCCACACTTTTTAAGTTTAGTAACAACCGTTGTCTATCCTGCATATCCTCATAATCTACACTTTATTCTTTTTCATAACGGCCATTCAACAACCTCACTCAATAAACTTTTATATTAAGTGACTCTTTAACCGCATATTAGGTTCCTAGCATTAAGAAATTAAAATTAAAAAGGCCGACGTTACCGCGCGATTTAACTGGCCTGACAGCAGATTTACACTGATTCTTGATCTTTTATTATCCCCCAGACATCGATCCATCATTTAACATTTCACTAATTTTAAACCACATTAAAATCACACCCATTATCGACAGTAGATTCAATTCAGTTGGGTCCCATTGATCTCTGATAATCAAATCAAACTTGTATAGAAGCAATCAGCTTTCCACGTTCGTGGGCGATGGGATCTGTCTAATAAAATGTTAACCGGGGTAGAAAGTTATGTCGGTGTTCGTTTGACAAAGGACGTTATGTAAGCTTTGGAAACTGATTACAATTGGTATTTTTAAGCTATGTCCATATAGTCTGTGTGTACAGACATGAGCTGCTAGTCAACAACCGTCGTGACTGACTACAGGATATGAGACGACTACAATGGAACCTTTATACAAACGTGACCGGTGAGCTAGTTTTAAAGTAAATAATTGTGGACAGTGGTCAGTGTAATGATAGACAAGATGAACGAAAAGAGCGATAAAAGGAAAAGAAAACAAAAAATAGGTTGAATTTGAGACATACGTGGAAAGATAGGAAGAAGGATTCGTTGTAAGGGTCGAGTGAAAGCAATGAGATGAGAAAATATGTGAAGGAAAGACGGTATCGTTTGGAACTAACACATGCAGTCTTCATGAGATGTCGAGGAAAAGAAAAAGAAGGAAAGGCGATAGGAAGAAAGAAAAAGAAAAAGGAAGGAAAGGCGGTAGAAGGAAAGAAAAAAGAAAAAGAAGGAAAGATGGTAGGTAGAAGGAAAAAGAACGAAAGGTGGGAGGAAGAAGGAAAAGGAGAAAGAACAGGAGGCGTTGGGAGGAAGGAAAACAGAAGGGATGGTGGTAGGAAGATAAAAAAGAAAAAGAAGGCGGTAAGTAGAAGGAAAAAGAAAAAGGAAGGAAAGGCGGTAGGAAGAAAGAAAGAAGAAAAGGAAGGAAAAGCGGTAGGAAAAAGAGAAAGAATGGAAGGCTGTAGGAAGACGGAAAAAAGAAAAGAAAGGTAAGGCGGAAGGAAGAAAGAAAAAAGAAAAGGAGAGAAGGCGGGAGGAGGAGGGAAAAAATAACGGAAGGCGATAGGAAGAAAGAAAAAGAAGGGGAGGCTGTAGGAAGAAGGAAAAAAGAAACAAAAGGGAAGGCCTTAGGAAGAAGGAAAAAAGAAAAAGAAAGGAAGGCGGTAGGAAGAAAGAAAAAAGAAAAGGAAGGTAAAAAGAAAAAAAAAAGGAAGGGTAGGAAACGGAAAAAAAAAAAAAAAAGGAGAAAGGAAAAGAAAGGAAGGCGATAGGAAGAAAGAAAAAACGGTAGGAAGAAGGAAAAAGAAAAGAAGAGAAGCCGGTAGGAGAAAAAAAAAAGAAAGGAAGGCGAGGGAAGAAAGAAAAAAGTCGGTAGGAAGACGGAAAAAAGAAAAAGAAGAGAAGCCGGTAGGAGAAAGGAAAAAGAAAGGAAGGCGATAGGAAGAAAGAAAAAAGTCGGTAGGAAGAAGGAAAAAAGAAAAAGAAGAGAAGCCGGTAGGAGAAAGGAAAAAGAAAGGAAGGCGATAGGAAGAGAGAAAAAAGTCGGTAGGAAGAAGGAAAAAGAAAAAGAAGAGAAGCCGGTAGGAGAAAGAAAAAGAAAGGAAGGCGATAGGAAGAGAGAAAAAGTCGGTAGGAAGAAGGAAAAAAAAAAAAAGAAGAGAAGCCGGAGGAGAAAGGAAAAGAAAGGAAGTAGGAAGAAAAGGAAGAAAAAAGAAAAAGAAGAGAAGCCAGTAGGAGAAAGGAAAAAGAAAGGAAGGCGATAGGAAGAAAGAAAAAAGAAAATACAAGGAAAAATGTGAAAGCGAAAGGAAATGAAATAATGTAAAGGATGAGAATAAAAGGAAAATGACATTAAAATGAAAAATTCTCTCAAGAAGCCAAAGAGAAGAATGAAAAGGAGGCGAACGAGTAATTGTAAATAAACATTTAAAAAACTGCACATAAACAATAATGATGACAATGAAGGCGAAGAAAAAGAAGAAAAACTAAAGATTAGTAAGAATATTTTTGATTTAAAGAAAGAAAGTATAGTAGGAATCTAGGGGGAAATGATAGAGAAATGAGCTGACATGAACAGATAGATAGATAGATAGATAGATAGATAGATAGATAGATAGATAGATAGATAATGAACAAAATGAGATAGATTAGTGAGAAATATTTTGTAGTGAACGAAAGAAAGAACGAAAATTTAGTAGAAGATAGATAGATAGATAGATAGATAGATAGATAGATAGATAGATTAGTGGGACAATGTTAAATGTGAAAGAAAAAAGAAATAAAGTTTAGTTGAAGATAAGTGGAAGTAACAGATAGATAGATAGATAGATAGATAGATACATAGATAGATAGATAGATAGATATGAAAAGTTTGAGAGATAGATAGATAGATAGATAGATAGATAGATAGATAGATAGATAGATAGATAGATTAGTGGGACAATGTTAAATGTGAAAGAAAAAAGAAATAAGAAAAGGTTTAGTTGAAGATAAGTGGAAGTAACAGATAGATAGATAGATAGATAGATATGAAAAGTTTGAGCGATAGATAGATAGATAGATAGATAGATAGATAGATAGATAGATAGATAGATCAGAGAGGCAAAGTTAAAAGTGAAAAAAATAAAGAATAAAAAAGAAATAATGTTTAGTTGAAGATAAGTGGAAGTAATAGATAGATAGATAGATAGATAGATAGATAGATAGATAGATAGTAAAATAGAGAAAGAGAGACATGATCTGACAGACATAGGTTAAGGTGAACATACTGTTCTAATGAGAGAGATAAGTCTGAAAGAATGTGAAAGAAAGAAACAAACAAACAAACAAGCAAGCGTAACCCGAGAATTTGAAAAAGGAAAATAGGTTGAAGATGTAAGGAAAAATGTAGGTGTGCTAAAACAAAAAGACGTGATGAAGCGACGCGTAGAAGAAAATGAGAAAATAATAAGAGCGATGAAGTCAACGAACAATAATGGAGTTATAAATGCAACACCGCCATGATGGTGAATTTTACTTCGCGTTGTGTTGTTGTGCCGAACGCAGGCTGGTGGTATTGACATTCTGTGCCAGCTGCGTACACGAGCATTTCTTCTTTTGTTTGCTATTTGTCTTATTAGTGCGTTCATCTGAATGGACTCGCTGAATGTGAGGATTAAACCGACTTACGTCACGTCAAATAAGAAATCAGCTTTCCCGAAATGTTTGTATTAATATATAATTAATGTTTCTCGCTCAGCTTTTAATTTCTGTTTCTGCTGACGCGGAATCGAATCGAGAAATGGACAAACGAAAATAAAATATAGTTTCCTTAGTTTTTAGTATCTCATAACCAGCTCTATGTTTACGATTTACCAGCTGTAACAGCAAAATTGTCGAAATCGTATAACAGCAGAATTGTCCATCAAATTATTTAATATCTGAAAATGCACTAAACTAACCGAGCTTCTTTTTTCAGGTTATCAGTCAAGACTCTTAGTCATCTTCACACCATTTGCAGTGAAAATCATTGATAAACCCTTTGTGTTATTCAGCTAAAAAGAGAACAGATTAAAATCGTTTTGTGCCTGTCCCACTATATCTTCCAAGCTGAGCAATGGGGAGAGTAAAATGATTATTCAGGCCTTCAGTAATGATACGACATTCATACTCTAGCTTCCATCTTCAAAGTCCATTCAAGAACCATCAAGAAAGAGGGAACAGTAGAGAGGAAAACTGGATCAAAAGGTTACAACAGGAAGAGGGATCATTTCAACTTTGAGCTAAAGAGATCAATTAGAAAGCATCCAACTTAATTCATAACACGTTTGGCACGTGAGAGAGGAGTTTCAGCAATGACAGTCCAAATAGCAGTGAAAAAAAAGATTTGAATATGAAATATTCAATATATATATATATATATATATATATATATATAGAGAGAGAGAGAGAGAGAGAGGTTGGTAAATCAAATAACTAGATACTCGCAACTGTATATGCGTTTATACACAGGTAAGCAAATAAATATGTACTAAATTTACTTTAAGGTGTAAAAGATAGTACTCACTATGCTAAGAAATATATATTAATATACATATACCTAAGTTTAGAGTGCAACTTAAGTTTCGTTTTTTTACCAACTCATCAGACACGAAATATTACTTTGATTAAAAAAGAAGTATGTATATGTATATTTATTATATATATATATATATATATATATATATATATATATATATAATGAATTATACATAATATTATTGGAATCTTCTTGTAGTTCAATCTTGTGGTTTATGAAACTAAGACTCATATATTGATGGCACACACAGAACGCTGCCGGTCTCCTAGAGAGGATAGGGAAAGAAAGCGAAAGGAATGGTCTGCTCATCAACTGTAATGAGACAGAAAGTGTTGTTGTCAGCGAAATAATAAGCCTAAGAGGCGAGCTACAAAATGGAGATATCAAAATCAAACAAGTAAAGCTGTTTAACTAGCTGGACATTTTTTTAACAAGCCACGGATTATGTGACACAGAAAACCCGAAGCTGCAATGGAAATGCGAAAAGCTAAACAAAACATTAAGAAACAGAAGAGAAAACTTGAAGCAACAGACCCGTGGTTCTACAGAAGGATGATTAGAATAACACGGACGGGGAATGTGAGCAAGAAGAAAGTTTTAAAGAAAACAGGAAAAAAAAGGACATATCCATAGAATCGATTAGAGGCAGCTGTAATTTATGATATACATAATGAGGAAAGATAGCTTGAGAATTTGATACTCCCATGATATGATGAATACATATCATGGGAGTATCAAATTCTCCAAGCCAGCTTTCCTCATTATGTATATCATAAATTAAAGCTACATCGATTAGCATATCTAACGAACTTGTGTAAATGAATGACAACACAGGGACTTGGAATGATAGTAAGCAGACAAATATTACTTGGAACTGAAACAGATATGAAATTGCGGATAGGCTTGATCGCCCACATCACTGTGCATCTAAAAAATGGCCGTGTTTATATTTGAGTCTATAGGTAATCATTGGTTTGATTTATATTTTGAGTCTATAATCATTAGCCGAGTTTATACATAAGCCTATATTGCAATCATTGATCATGTTCATGCTAAGTTATATATGTAATCATTGGGTGGTTTTATACTTGAGTCTATAGGTAATCACTGGTCACGTTTATACTTGAGACTATAGGTAGTTTTTATCTGTAGAGAATCATTGGTTGTGTTTATACGTGATTCCAAAAGTAATCATTACCCGGGTTTATACTTGAGTCATTAGTTAATCACTGGTCGCGTTTATACTTGAGTCTATAGGTAGTCATCGGTCGTGTTTATATTTTAGTCTGTAGAGAATCATAGGTTGTGTTTATACTTGATTCTAGAAGTAATCTTTGGCCGGGTTTATACTTGAGTCTTTAGGTAAACACTAGTCGTGTTTAGACCTAAGTCTATAACATAACATTAGTTGGATTTGTGCCTAAGTCTGTAAGTAAACATTGTTTCAGCTCATACTTGAGTATATTGATATATATTGAACTCATTTTTACTTGATTCTATAAATAAACATATTTCTAGTTTATATTTCATTCTACTGATAAATATTGGCCACGTTTATATATATTTTGTTCCTACTGAGATTATCTGACTGTGATAGATATACTGAGAAAAAGTGGTAGTTTCAAAGAAACATGAATAGATACAGAGAGAAATAGATACAAACAGATAAAAATTGTCCATATTTATAAAATCTTGGCATATCCCTATACGAAAGCTACTGGTGGCCCGCTGGCTAGCCGCCGATGACAACGCCAGCGGTCCTCTGGTGGCAGCCACCGGCGGGCCACTAGCGTTCTGCCTGTGGTAACATTACCGAGACGAACACCCTGGAGGTCTGACAGTTGGCCAACAGTGGTAAACGCTAAGGGAATGACACCTAGTGACACACTGGTGGCTTGCGTGTAGGGATAGACTGTAAAGAAAATGAAAGATACATACATTGATATGACACTGAGCGCTGAGACAAACTTCGGATTTAGCACAAACTACCCAGTAGGGGTAAAAGTTGGCTGGTTGCATTCAATGTCTCGAAAACCGAACTAGTTACATTTCATCATCCCTGAACGGACCCTAAATTATCCTCTATTGCGATGAACAGGTGTTCTTTCAGGGAGATCCCATGACTTGACCGCTTATTTGGACTTAAACACTAGCAAGACCACAAAACGAACTCGTACATACGATCCATCGTTAAAAGATGTTGGAAAAATGGTCAGTTCCCTCTACCGTTCCAGTAAGTACCTGACTCCATCAGCCTCCCACCCCACTTTTTGTTCCGCAAAGGTTCAAAAGAAGTCGGAATTTAGAGTCTTAAAATATATCGTATCTTTTAGTTAAACAGTTTTGGTCCCTTGAATTTTTTTGTTCTTTGTTTATTTTTTTAACATTTTTTTTTGTCTTCCTTTTTATTATTATTATTTAGTTACTTTTCCTTGAATTATTTTTTTATCTGGTAAATTGTTTATTAACAACTTGTTCTCATTTGGTTCAGGGCAGAAAAAAAGATGAACAGTTGTACGACTTGCAACTTTTTCTCTCCTCTAGCCGCTCGCTAAACTCCAGGATTCGATGAATCTGTAAAAAGTAAAAAATATATATACATAAATATTGTATTTATAATTTTCATATTGTTTTTACATATTTCAATACAGCTTTAAAATATTGTAGTGACAATAATAGCGTTATATTGTCAAAAACTCTTCGACGTCATTCTCTTGTTCATCTTCCGATTTAGCACAAACGACCCAGTGGCTTAAAAACAGGCTGGTCACATTCAATGTCTCGAAAACCAAACTAGTTACATTCCATCATGGCCGATCGGACCCAAAACTACCGCCAGTCAGGAAGAACGGATGTCCCCTCGTAGAGGCACCGTGCCTTGGGAGACTATTGGGCCTCAATTTCGAACATGACCTCTTGTGGAACTCGTACATACAATCCATTGCTAAGGGTGCAGATAAAATGATCTGCTCCCTGTACCGCTCTAGTAAGTACCTGACTCCTCCTAATATTCTCTAACATTACAGGAGTCAGCTGAGGCCGAAAATGGAGTACTGTTGTCATATTTGGGCAGAAGCTGCTCAGCCTTCACTCTCCAGCCTTGATAGAGTCCAAAAGCATCTCCGAGCCCTTGTAGATGACGAATTGTTTTCCACGCTTCAACCTCTCTCCTACAGATGAGATGTGGTAAACCTTTCGCTGCTCGATCGCTGATGTAGGGACATTATTATTATTATTATTGGCAACTGATCTCTCTTCCAATTTAGCACAAACTACCCTGTGGGGTAAAAACGGGCTGGTTACATTCAATGTCTCGAAAACCAAACTAGTTACATTCCATTATCGCCGATCGGACCCCGAAACTAACATTAGTCACGATGAACGGATGCCCCCCCTCGGGGAGGCACTGTGCATTGAAAGACTATTAGGCCTCGAACTCAAATCTGACCTCAATTAGAACACGTACATACGATCTCTTGCTAAAAATGCAGGTAAAATAGTCGGCTACCTGTACCACCCCAGTAAGTACCTGACGCATCAAGCTATCCTTTACCTTTACAAGAACTAGATCAGGCCTAAAATTGAATAACTTTGTTATATTTGGGCGGGGGATGAAGGGTTAACTTTGAGTCCAAAATCGTCTCCGAGTCCCTGTGGGTGACGAATTATTTTTCCGCCCTCCAAATTTCGCTCCCACAGGCGGTATGTAGCAAACCGCTCGCTGCTGTTTTCGCTATTTCCATGGAAAGTCGTCGGACGAACTGCATTCCCTGGTTCCGTCAGTACAAACCTTTACATCAGGGACACGCCATACAACATACATAGCAATGAAAAAAAAGATTTGAATATGAAATCGCAAGTACTAGATTGGCGTAAACATAAAGAGTCAACTTTCACTTTCGAACGTTAAGAGATAGATAGATAGATAGATAGATAGATAGATAGATAGATAGATAGATTGATAGATAGATAGATAGATAGATAGATAGATAGATAGATAGATAGATAGATAATGTACAGACTGAGATAGGCCGATATATAATGGAGAGACTAAGATAGATAGATAGATAGATAGATAGATAGATAGATAGATAGATAGATAATGTACAGACTGAGATAGGCCGATATATAATGGAGAGACTAAGATAGATAGATAGATAGATAGATAGATAGATAGATAGATAATGTACAGACTGAGATAGGCCGATATATAATGGAGAGACTAAGATAGATAGATAGATAGATAGATAGATAGATAGATAGATAGATAGATAGATAGATAGATAATGTACAGACTGAGATAGGCCGATATATAATGGAGAGACTAAGATAGATAGATAGATAGATAGATAGATAGATAGATAGATAGATAGATAGATAGATAGATAGATACCCACAATCCCTTCGAATTCCATCGATGAGAAGTAAGTTCCGCTCGAAGAGCTTCGCCTCGCGAACCACTGTTCTGTGGAACCGACTCCCAAGAACATGTTGTCACCTCCTCCTATCCGCACAAATTACCCCTTAACGTAACACTCTACCTCGAGTAGCCGTGGGCCTTGTAAATAGTGAAGCTTAGAGTAAAAAAAAAAAAAAAAAAAGATCCTAATCTGTTCGTAAGTAACACTCTGGTAATCACGTAAGATGTTTCTCACAGAGTAAATATTTATTTGATCAATTGTGTTTTGAATTACCGATACATTTATCGCGCCTCGGCCATAGCACGATTAGATGCTTGCTTACCGCTATGCAAACGAATAACCTCTATTTGGCCAGAAAGGGATCAATGTTAATCCTTGAATTGGGGGCAATCCTTGAAGTCACCTATGAATTCTGTATCGCACTTGCAGGATCTAGAGTTCTACAAGTGAACTAATCGTACGATTAAGACGACGTGATGACTATGGAATGAAAAGGTAAAGACATGTGGAAATTAAGCGATGCTGCTAAGAGAATGCTACTGGGAATGGGACTGCTATAAGTAATATAGATAGATAGATAGATAGATAGATAGATAGATAGATTGAGATAGATAGATAGATAGATAGATAGATAGATAGATAGAAAGACTGACAGAGAAAAGAAACTAAAGACTACAGACAGAAAGATACGAAAAGGTTGAACAGACCGATGATATAGATAAATAGATAGATAGATAGATAAAAGACCTGATATATAAACAGAGAAAAGAAAACTAAAAAAGACTACAGACAGATAGAAAGATACGAAAAGTTGAGATAGATAGATAGATAGATAGATAGATAGATAGATAGATAGATAGATAGATAGATAGATAGAAAAGTAAAAGAGAGAGAGAGCAATGATCGGACAGAGATAGACAGACGTGAACAGAATGTGGTAATAAGATACAGATGAGCAAAGCCAGACATATATGAACTGAAAGAGATAGATATGTGCAGACTAAGATAGATAGATAGATAGAGAGAGAGAGAGGGGGGGGGAGAGAGATAATGTACAGACTGAGATAGGCCGATATATAATGGAGAGACTAAGATAGATAGATAGATAGATAGATAGAGAGAGAGAGAGAGAGAGAGAGAGAGAGAGAGAATGTACTGACTAAGATAGGCCGATATATAATGGAGAGACTAAGATAGATAGATAGATAGATACCCACAATCCCTTCGAATTCCATCGATGAGAAGTAAGTTCCGCTCGAACAGCTTCGCCCCGCTAACCACTGCTCTGTGGAACCGACTCCCAAGAACATGTTGTTATCTTCTCCTATCCGCACAAATTTCCCCTTAACGTAACACTCTACCTCGAGTGGCCGCGGGCCTTGTAAAGAGTGAAGACAGATGGATAGATAGATTGATAATGTATAGAGTAAACATAGATAGATAGATAGATAGATAGACTCTGTTAATACAGGAATGTAAATAACTTCATATATATATATATATATATATATATATATATGTGTGTGTGTGTGTGTGTGTGCGTGCGCGCGTGTATGTGTGTTGCCTATATTTTCTCTCTTCAGTTGTTCCTATTTTTCTCTACAGCAGCCATTTTAAACTACTTAATTTCTTACGGCGTTCCTCACCAACATATTGCAAACCATTTCGATAATTATATACGTGTGTGTGTGTGTGTGTGTGTGTGCGTGTGTGTGTGTGTGTGTGTATCTGTGTGTGTGCCACAGTAAGAGATGAATTCATACGTGATTATTCCAGAAAGCATCCAGTTATTACTAATATCTCGCAGACCAGTTGCGCGGCCTCGATGCACTTTGGTAATTAATAACAGCGACATTACTACGCATGCGTGCATACTTTACAACGAGTGAACTCAGACCAGATTTTATTTTCTCTCTGCAGTGCTTTTCAGATAGCAAAAATTGCCGTCTCGAATGATTTCACTTCATCTAGGAAATTTGGGAAGACGGCCGGCTGATGGTTATTTCCAAAGATGACTTTTAGAAAGACTGAAAAAAAACGGAGAAATAATAATAATAATAATAATAAACATATATGTTAATTTTCGTTGAGATTCGACAATAGGTAACGCTGATCTCTACACTCTTGTCTTGCTTATATTATCTGAGAAGTCGGAAGTATGTCTTTGATTGCTATTAGGCTGGAAACTCAATAATCGACTGATGTGCTTCTAAAAGCATTATAACTTAATCCAACATTTCTAGATAAATCTTACTATCCATAATTCACTTAATTCTCTACAAGGGAACGATAATCTTTCTCCTACACACGACATCACACTATTCTCTGCTCTGAATTTAAACGTTGTTATAAAGTAATCCAAGTATATCTCTGCTTTCTTTTCTTCTTATACACCGACAAATCTTCAGACCCAATCTTGCTAAGCTTCCATTCGTTGGTCGATATCGTTTTAAACCATTCTGTGAAGCTTCAATATTCATGCTTCATACACACGTCTTCTTTAAGCAAATTCCCTGTAACTTTTCTATAAATATTTTCATAGTAATTGTTATGACGTACGTTCCTCTATCTAATCTCTATGGCGCCTAGACTTTATGAATTTAAGCGCAGGACTGGATTAGCGTAAACATGAAATACAGGAACAGAGAATGCCTGGTTATTAGATTATTTTTTTCTAAAATAGAAGATGGGTGGCCTTTCTTAGTCGTCTGTCATCTCAATGTAATTCTCTATATTAAAAAAAAAAAATCTTCAAAAAATAAAATATACTTTTCTGAAACTGTATTTGACAATTAGCTTATTTAAAGTATAATTAATCTCTTTTGAAAATAATATCATTTACTTCTTTAAGTTGCAAATAACACAGAAATGTATTTTTAAAACAAAACACTAGCTATATATATCTATATATATCTATATCTATATCTCTCTCTCTCTATATATATATATACGCTCAATACAGATTAGAAGAAATTATATATATATATATATATATATATATATATATATATATATATATATATATATATAAATTTCCGTTTTTACTTTGTATTGAACCCTTGACAATAGTATTTTTTGGTTTTGTAATTTATTCCGTCTCCACCAATCCTATACTTGGGCATATATGTATATATATATATATATATATTTTCAAAACAAGGAATGTATTGATTTTAATTTTAAAAGTCTCTAAGGCCCTTTCAACCAACATCTCATCAGGAGACAATCGTTGGATCAACGAAAAGAATATTAACGACAATGAAGAGCAAAAAGAGGGGGAAAACACTAAAAATAACAAACAAGTGTATATACTTGTAACGAGGGGAGGGGAAATAATCGTGTAAATAAATTGCGAGGGACAGTTAAAATAAAATATCCCCCAACAGATTAAGAGACTTTACAAATTATTTCTGCCGGCAGAGATAAGGTTTCCTTAATCCTATGCAGACCGATTCCAAAATCTTCAAATGATTGTTGCAATCGGCTGTATGAATAATTTTAAACCACTCTTTTTTAAACAACTTGCCGCAGGCTATATTCTCAACTAAATGTTGAGCAACAGCCGATTCCATATTCATGGGGGGTGGAAGATAGCATATTTTATCTATCTTACCAAGTCGTATATTGGAAGGTACATGCTGATTGATTCTAGTTTCAAGATGCAAGGTGGTACGCCCCACATAACCAGCAGCACACTGGCAATTAAATTCATATACTAAATTACTCAATTTGATGTAGGGCAATACATCCTTGTGAAAAAGACGGAAACACAGATATATATATATATATATATATATATATATATATATATATATATATATATATAGATAGATAGATAGATAGATAGATAGATAGGTATTGATAATATTAGTATATATATATATATATATATATATATATATATATATATATATATATATATATATATTTATATATACATAAATTTCCAAGAGGATAGAATCCAGAATTAGAATTACTACAATACATAAGTAGAAATGCTACAATATAGAAGGATAAATATTGCTTCTTGAATTTTTATAGGTCTGATGAATTGGATCGTGATTACGATTCCAATGTAATAAATTATATATATATACATAATATAATATAATATAAAAAGGCTCAAAAACTAATATTCCATAGTTCCAAATATATATATATATATATATATATATATATATATATATATATATTATAAATTAACTTTAAAATATGTTTTTATTACACAGTTCTAACCATGCTTCAAAAATGGAAGCTAAAATCTTCGAATTTAATTTTGTAATTAAATTAAAAACGTTAGTTCCATTTCATCCTTATTACAAAATTAAGTTCGAAGCTTTCAGCTTCCATTTTTGAAACATGGTTAGAACTGTGTAGCAAAAAAATATTTTAAATCAGTTAATTTATTATATTAATGCTCTGTAAATTTACATTGAGCACTATTTTGTAAAAATAAAAATATCTATAATAACACCGGATTATATATCTTATAGTTCTTTCTTTTTTATATATATATATATATATATATATATATATATATATATATAGAGAGAGAGAGAGAGAGAGAGAGAGAGAGAGAGAGAGAGAGAGAAAGAGACGTGTGTGTATAGATAGATAGATAGATTTTACATATTTTGTATTGGGTTTTTGTACTGCTGTTTAATCTTGTCATTCCTGCCGGAAATCTTTCCAGCCGACCTTCCTGACATGTTCTAGTCACGTGATTCCTCCCTACTCGCACTCACTCTCGCGTTGTTATCTTGATTGCTTCCTCTCTTATTGCGCTTATAATAGAAACAAAAGTTTTTTTTTCTTTTTTTTTATTCCGCATATTTTTGAAACCCCGATGTGTGACCTTTATTAATACATTAAAAAAGAGAAAAGAAGAAGAAAAAAAAAAGGTCGCGAATACTGGGTACTAAATTATATTAAATAGCATCTTTATATTACGAACGTTTCTATGCGTTTTAAGTGTCGAATAAAATTGAACAAAACAACTTCTATTTGACCTGATTGAAAATGAAACAGATTCTCCAGTAACATTAAATCCCAATCTACACGTTTACAAAACAATTCAACAAAATGTATGAATTCCTCAAATTGAGAAACAAAATTTCATTATATATATATATATATATATATATATATATATATATATATATATATATATATATATATATATATATATATTACAGTATATATATATATATATATATATATATATATATATATATATATACTGTGTATATATACTGTGTATATATGTGTATGTGTGAGTTTGTGTGTGTTTGTGTGAGAAATATCTTTATTAAGTTTCCTATGAAATGGGAGGTGTTTTAATTTCTGTTAAAAAGGGCCAATTTTCTTTTTGGTGAAATTGATGTCAGATAGTCTTCGAAACGATTTGGTACCATATTTCACTTGCAATCATGAGTTAAATATGGTTCTCTTTACAAATTCTTGTGCTTGTCTCTGTATTTCCCGACTTTCTGTCGAGTAAAAAAAGAGAAAAAAGAGGGATATGAGGTGTTAATATATATCATATTTTTCGTCATTTCTCTCTTTCTTGTATATATATATAATATATATATATATATATATATATATATATATATATATCGAAGGTGTATTTCGACAGCAAGAATTTTTCTCAAGCATATTTGGCTTAATAATATCGACAAATTCTACCTCCAATTTTGCTGCCGAAGTACACCATATTTGAAATATATCGCCCAAAGGCAAACAAGGTCACTCTTTTAAAAAAAAACTTTGAAAAATTAATAAAAATTGAAATTTGTCGATATTATTCAAATAAATATGATTGAAATATATATATATATATATATATATGTTTCATTGAAATATATATATATATATATATATATATATATATATATATATATATATATATATAAAGTGTGTTTCATTAAGATGGGTTATATATAAGGGTGTTTCGTTAAGACGGATCAAAGTCAGCAGCAAACGAATCAGTGTTATTGGTGAAAATTTATTTATTTCTCTATTGTATCATGTTATTTAAGTCATGGCCATTATGTGTGAAAAAATAATATCGCCCAAATGTCTGCCAAGGCTTCGGCGTCACACCTCCACTCGATGGTCAAAATTTTTGATGACGTCTCTGCATAGTTGCTCCTCGATCTCACCAAAATGCCTTATTATCTCATCCTTCAGTTGTTGAAATGTTGTTGGCTTGTTGGCAGAGACCTTACTTTTGAGATGAAATATATATATATATATATATATATATATATATATATATATATATATAAGGCAAAGTCAGCAGTAAATAAATCAGTTATTAGTGAAAATTTATTTATTTTTCTATTGGATCATATTATTTAAGTCATGCCAATTATGTGTGAAAAATAATATCACTCAAATGTCCGTCAAATCTGAAAGAAAAGAAAAATCATTAGACGCTCAAACTTAATTCACATTTAAAATCGGTCCAAGTTATTAGAACACTCTTTATATATATATATATATATATATATATATATATATATAAGAAAGAGGTTATAGTGGTTCCAACGAGAGAAAAGTATGTATATTAAAAAAAAGAAGAGAGGTGCCGCAAACGCTTTTTTGGTTGTAATGTGTTTTTTTTAGAAAAAAATATTATGCTTTATTTTCCATAATTTTACTACACGTGTTTCTGGTCTCGTGACAGTCTTAGGGTAAAAGCCGAGATTTCCACATATTGTTAAAAATAATTAATTTTTTTCCTTTGTGTTTTTCAATGTTGAATATTCTCGATATGAGACATTCTCTGTTTTTGTGTTAGTAATGCGAATGTATTTCTTGAATTGGCAATGAAGAGTTCTGCGCGAAGGGTCATAATATATATATATA